GAAGGGGAGAGATCTGATGGGGTACTGGAACTTGTGAGAACTCGGACGGGGAGTTTTTGGCCGCCGTTGCAGCTGGGTTTTGAGGTCGAGAAGTAGTAGTAGCCGGCGCGAGATGGGGTCCACTGTAATTTGTAGAAAATGTGAGCACTAGAAAGCTTATTGTAGATTTGCACAAAATGACCATGAACTTGAAAATTGAGAAACCCACTAAAATTTCAGGGGTTTTATGGATGGGGGTTCTTCTTTAATTCATGAAGTTCATGGCAGTTTGTGCACCAAAAAATTTTAAGGGTTTTGGTGAAATTTACACTAGATTGGGGGTTGGGGGGGTAGCACGTACGGTGAAATGGGTAGAGTCGCCATTGTAGATGAGATAAGCTCGGGCAAAGTTGCAGAGGTCAAATGCCCGTCTGTTGTGGAAAAGGTACAGATTCTGAAGGTGCTTGTGCTTGAAAACTGAGGCAAAGACAAAGAAACAATTACTGGTGAACAAATATATTTGAAGGGAAAAAAATTTCTTGGCAAATGAAATGATGCTAGCAAATTACTCACCTAGAGAATCTCCAACACGAAGAGAAGTTGGTGCTTTCCACTCATCAAGCCCATCTACAACCACAGTGCTAGTACACTGAGAGAAGCTAAGGAGCAAGAGAAGGAGGACAAGGGTGAAAAGGGAACGAGTGAAAGTTTTTGCTCTCATTTTTTTTTTTTTTTTACACTCCCTCGCTATCCAATAGAGCTTCACCTTCAAAAGTAGAAGATGGAAGAGGAGACTGGGCTCTATATTTGAAGTGGAATCCTAGTTGTCTTTACCCAATGTTTGGTTGTACTGACTGTAAAGTGTTAAAGAGCCTTGAATGGTGGGGGACAGTAAAAAAAAAAGGAAAAAAATGAGGCCAAAGAACCCGTGCTTGGGTACTCGGGGCTCTGCGCAAAAGAGAGAGAGAGACGTAGAGAAAGAGTGAGAGAGAAAGAGAGAGAGAATCGGGAAAAGTAAAATTCGTTTGATAAACGCGATGATAGGAATATAATTCTGAAGTGATTTGCTTTTTTAGCTTTTGGGTCAGGGAGCAAATTAAAATGATTACTTTATCACAAGTTTACACATCTTTGTTTAGCTTTCACCCCCAATTTCGAGGAGTAGAGAGAAAGTGGACATCGATAGTATAACATAAGAGCGTGATATATATTTTGTCGGCATCTTTGTGGCATTAACTCTTTCGTACCTGACTCGCATAGGCACCAGAGATTGATAACTTTTTGAGCAGGGCCGGTCAAAACACAAACAGGACTTGTGAAGAACTAGGAAGAGGCCTTCAATGAGTTCTACAGGATTGTGAGGACTGTATTTAGCTAAGAGCCTCAAATCATTTATCCATCATTACTCTTTGAAAGAAAATTAATGGCGTAATCATATTGAACTTTGAATTGCTAGCATATAGAGGGAAAAAAAATACACGTTCTGAAATCAATTTACTTTCTTTTTGCCCCTTCTCAATCCTACAATTGCCCGCTTATTTAATCTTCAAAGCATCTGCATATGTATAAACAAAACAGAAAAGAAAAGAAGGGAGATCTTGAACACCAGAGTCCTATCCTTGTTCCTCCGGAATTTCTCACTGGCAGATCTCACCTTTGGTTGTTTGCATATGAGAATGGTGTATTTATTGTTTTGCCACGAGCCAAAGAAAATTTCCAAGAGATAAGCGACCGCTTCAAGTGCTCGGTTGCCTTCACCTTGAGTCGGTAACAACAACTAAAAACAACAATGCAGGCATAAGGGACGTAACGTCCCTACCAAATCATTGTTTTTGTTCTTCGCAGAAACCGGGGTGGTTTTTTCGCCTGTGTGACTGGGATCAGATTCTCCTTGAGCTGCAGAAGCATAGTAGAAATTAATAATCAGGCACGCAGAGATGTATATATATTCTTTAAGAGGTAACGAGTCCTGCCTTTGAAAAAGGAACGAAAGAAGATAGAAAGAGAGCAACGATTAGAGGTTGACATTAAACAAAGACTGGTAGTGATGGAACGTCTACACGAAGGAAAGTCATTCATCAAGTAGTGATTGAAGTATTGAACTACAGGACACTTTTAAAATATACGATGTAATGATTCTATAGTTAATTGGTCTCCCAATTCTCCCTTCTGAGTTCTTCATTATGCTGCTGTTTAAATATTGGCACGTGTTATTATCATTGAATTCCCCCTTTTGATGGCATCCAAACAGAACCCAAATTTCTTCATAAACCCTTTGGCCAACTAGAACAGTGATAAGCACCGTCATCTTCATCATTTGGACTGCACACCCAACTAGGCTGCACTCATTTCTCAAATATATGGAAGTTTTAAATAAGTTCTAAGCTAGGTAGATACACGTGCAAAATTTATCACAGGAAGTGCACGTTGAAAGACAAAAACTTCCTAAAATAAATAAAGGTGAAGCTATTGGTTTGGCCACCTACCTCAGTAGCCCTACAATGTTCTCCGAAGAATGTCAAGGCTCTTTATCTTATCCGACTAAGAATGTCAAGATCCTTTATCTTATATTAGATATAAGCAGTAAATCAAAATCCAGAAAAATCGTTGAAAAATTTACATGGTCAAACTTCCTACCAAAATAGTTGGACCAAGGAGATTTTCCTTCAAAAACACTGGAACATAATTATTGAAATAGAATATGTAAATATAGATGCATGCTTGCATTATTCTTTGTGTTTTAAGAATTATTTTAAATAAATAATTTAAGTTGACAAACTATTTCCTCTGCTTTTGAAGTCGCTCGGACTATTTTTCTATATTACCTTAGTTCTTGCATTTTTAATAGAAAATTCTAATTCAACAATTTTTTTCTTGCTTTTCAAGTCGCGTTTGTAATATAAGCTTGTTAGCACATGCATGAAGAAGCATATATTACAAATGCACATAAAAACTTCGGAATATCTCATGTATTCTGCACCATGTACTCCATAATCCATATTGATATCGTGTAGTTTACTGCTTCAAGTATCATACAGTTAAGACCACTGAGAGGGATTTTGTGGAATTTAGCAGATGCAACTAACTAAAAGGACTCACAACTTCATGGGTTTAAGAGATCTCCCGTTTTTCAAATATTTGCAGTGCTCTAGCCTGCTATTTTCTTTAGCAAGCTTCTCAGGCAGGCTTTACAACTTAGGATCTCCCTCTCTCTTCAAAAGATCTAAAGCTCGTCCTGTCATAGAGATATTTGATGCAATATTGATACAGCCTTTGACCTTCATATGCGACGTCTGTAGTTTTTTTGGCACTTGAACACAAAACCATACATAACTAACTAGCAGTTTGGTACTTGATCATCGTTCTCAGTCATAATCTGCATAGCACTAGTTAGTTTGCACATCCTATTATATTTGTTCTTGACACCTTGTAGGCATTCTTTAGTAAATAGTTGCGACAGGTGATAATCAAGATTCTTTAGTTAACAGATGAAGATTTTTCTCTCTCTCGAATCTAGGAAATAATCTTCATCAGTTACCACCCAGACATACTTCGCCTTATTAATCTGCAATCAGTCACCTAAACCTTCTCGCCAAAACAGCTTGAGAAACTCGCTTGCACTACCAAAATATTGTTGCTCTTCAATTAGCTTTTATGGTCCTATCTGTCAGCTTAGTCTTTATCTTACAAATGCAGGTCCTAGTGCTTTGCACATATCTGAAAATACATGCCCACAAATGAAGAGATTGATTTCAAACAAAAAGAGCTTGAAGCACACATGATCTTCCTTGTCATCCATCGTGGAGCTTTGATATAAGATATCATAATAAACGTCTAGAATGCTAATAAGGTTGTCACTAAACCAAACTTCCGTTTGTAGATACCTAAAACAAACAATGATCTGAACCAGTGAACCTCCACCATGCTGTGAAATGGTGCGGGTAAAGAGCTAGATACGTATAACCTCGCCACAGAGATTACAGGTCCTAGATTCACCAACCAAGGTACAGTCAAGAAGAAACAAATCAACAAATAAATGGAGTAAGATGTACTGTAACGACAGGACAGAGGAATAAAACTCAATCACAGGAGCCATCAAGCCTCTAATCTGTGCTTGGTACAAACTGTCTTCCTAAGAATAGTTGAAGGCATTGTACAGACAACCACGAAACCAGGGTTAGCCGTAGGCAGAGGGTTTGCATATGTGAATAGAATGAAAAATACGGTAGAGAGAAAGAAGGAAGAAGAATGGGTATTGGATAAAAGGAGAAGTGATAAAAGACAACAAAGAATCTTGACAATTTAAATAGGCCTAAATTTTTTGAGGTTTGGCGATTTGAGATGTCATTCTCACAAAATATGGTATTCATCCTAGCATGCTCTCTGCTGTCTAGAAGGGCTTGAATAATTGGTGAAAGTATATTCAATGATATTATTCCTTAGGTTTCTAGTCGATCTCTATTCATTTACATGGACATTTAAGCTTTTCCTACTATACCAAAAACTTGACAAACTTACATGCAAACCTAACAAGTGAAATCTAATCAATGCCAACCTCCTTATGGTCAAGTTTCTCGGAAAATATGGTATTCATCCTAGCATGCTCTCTGCTGTCTAGAAGAGCTCGAATAATTGGTGAAAGTATATTTAATGATGTTATTCCTTAAGTTTCTAGTTTATCTCTATTCATTTACATGGACACTTAAGCTTTTTCCTTCTATACCAAAAACTTGACAAACTTACATGCAAACCTAACAAGTAAAATCTAATCAACGCCAACCTCCTTATGGCCAAGTTTCCTAGAGAATTGTTGAAACTCCTGCCTTTCATCCCTGGCATCTCCACCTTCATTGTGGCATATTCAACCTTCTAACCAGCATTTGATTCATGTACTCAATTCATAATGTAACTTCATGTATTCACTCCCTGAAGTCATGAATGCAATTTATTACCCATTTTGGGATGGGGAAATTAAAAGGTTTTGTGTAACTTTTGATCAATGTTGCATAAGGTAATTGATACTAGAATCTTCAAGGTCCCCATTTTCTTTTCATGAGAAATAGGCAGAGCCCCTTCTGGAGATTAGAAGAAGCTACCAGTATGACATGATCCTATAGTAGGAAGGATTGGTAGATGATCTTCCCATGCAGTGAAGGCAAAGATAAGAACACATGCCTGCATGGAAGCTGCGGATAAGTGTGACCCCGCTCCCCAAGATTTGTTATTGGCATTTAAGGGAATGTCTACACAAGGATGCTAGACAAGCATTACAAACTCCAGAAAAGTTACGATGCTATTAATACATCTGCATCATAATTAAATAAAACCAGTAGCATAGATGCTCCAGGATCAACAAAACCAAACCTTTTTACCCACCAGTGTAGAAATAGGCCCAGTTAATGGCAATTTTACAAGTTTAAGGTTTTTCTTTATGTTCCTGAAGTATGATCATTTCGTACTTCCTTTTTCTTTTTCCAATAGCAATCTTGAAATTGAAAAATAATAACTGGTATTTTCTAGTATATGCACAAAAATAAAAGGCTAATGGTAAACAATCATTGGAAGCAAAGGCTCTATTGTTTTCCATAAACTAATCAGTACTATACTCCAACTCTGATTCCAAAATGATGAGAGGCTTTTGACCTAGCATGATCATTTCTGCACTATGCTACATGCATACAAGAGAATTGTGTTGTGTGTGTCGGTGTTTGACTTAGCGTATCTAAATCCATCTAGAGGTATCAGAAACACTGTGCCTGCAAAAAGCATAATCTAATCGCTAATGGTCCAAAGTCCGTTCATTTAATTGACCATCATTTCGAGAATGAAAAAGCCTCTGCCTAATTCACAAAAGCAAGGTGGAGGAACCACTATAAAATAAAAATGGTTCATAAGGGGGCAAAAGAATATGCATGATTGTTTTTGCATATATCCACAAACCCTCCTCTATACTGTTTGTGAGATCCCATTTCACAAGTTTTCTTCAAAAAGAAAGAGTTGCTAGATAATACTAATATGCTCTCCTCTCTTCATTACCAGAAACTCATAAATTTCTGACCTCTGACTGTCTATAAGAAGGCAAAATGCTAATTGGGTGACCAAACAAATCAACAAATTATCATAGGCAAAACAAACTGGTTTTTTCTTTTTGTGTGTGTGTGTGGTTGGGGG